TTCTCGCCTAGAAAGACTAATAAGAGGGACACTGAAATTCGGGATTGTCCGAGAAAAAACGGGAGGGTTGGCATGTATTGCCTTGCATAGCCTGTAACGTTATTATGATGGACAGGTTTTATGAGTGAACTTGACTTTAAGTCACTTACAGGTTTCTTTGAAAAATAGAAAAAATAGAAATATATATATGGTGGATACAATCATGCATTCCAGATGCAAGAATCCATTTGAACTAGCCACTCAGCAGTCTAAAAGCAACACACACTTACACACCTTGGAGGGACGAGAAAGAGAAAACACACTCTGATGTAAGAAGCCAAACATAAAAACAACAGACATTGATTTTTGATCATAACAGCATTCCCCCAGGGATCAATAAAGTATTCTGATTCTGATTCTGATTCTGATATTAAGCATGTAAATATGTTACTTGTTTAGGAGATTACAGTGTCCAATTAACATATATTATATATGACCATGTGATAGGATGTTAGGTTGACTTTCTGACTTTACATCATGAAGTCATCGGTTTGTCTGCTTCATCTCCTCCTCTGCATGTATAAATCTTTGTTGGCAACAAATCTTATAGTGTTGAAAAGCCTGTTTGTTTACCTTGAAATGATGCCACATTTGTGTAGAAAATGCATTTGTGGGTTGAGCAGCAGTGCAACATATATGTGTGTGTGTGTGTGTGTTGTTGAACCGATTTCTTCGGCCTGGTCCCCACACAGGGACCTCCAGAATGGGGAAAAACAATAAAACAATGCACCACATTTGATGAAGTTCAATTCTGAGACACAAGATGGCAGTAGTGAGACTGTTATGACAGTTTAAGTTCAGATTTCCACAAAATCACCACCTTGAGTGATTAATAATAGCGACTATTTCTACTACTACCACTACTACTAATAATAACAAAAAAAACCTACTATATTGTTGTTGTTGTTGTTGTTGCTGCTGTTGTTGTTGCTGCTGCTGTTGTTGTTGTTTTTTGCAAGTTCTTTCACATGACTCTAATTATTGTATGTATGCCTAGATGAGAAATTGAACCAGCTTTATATGCAGTATAGATTCTCAAAAAAAAAAGAGGGGATTCAAGAAAGTTTTTTACAGAATAATGTTTTTAATGCTTTGTCAATGTGGTGATGAAGGAGTGTTGGAGATTTAGTGTCTCTGTCTGTTATATAACAACAATAACAAAAAAATAATGTGATTAATTAGATTAATCAACTAAAGCTATGGAATAAACACAGCAAAACTGATTTCTGATCTGATGCAAGGAAAAAATGCAAATTCTCAAATAGACATATAAACATAGAAATATGCAGCACTTGCTTTCCCCCCACTGAATGCTGCAGCTTGTCCAGGTATTTAAATTTATGGCTGTTATAGTACAACTTGAGTTCAGCTGCTCCAGATGTTAAGATCAGTGCACCTGAAAGAAACTTTTGGTGGACAACATCAGCAGATTCTACCAAGATTTGAAGTCATCTGAAGTTTGGTGCCAGATAGTCACGTAAAAACATGAAGTATAGGGGTTAGAGGACAAAATGATGATTGGAGTTCATGCAAAGCAACTTTGAAGCCATGAAAGAGGTGTAAAAATACTACATTGCACTATCTGATCACCCATAATATCTGAGTGACTCTCTATTCATACACAAATGGTGTAAATCATTAATGAAGAGGCCTGGATTAGGAAAATAATTCATCAGCTGTAGAAGTCATTTTAAATGCAATGTGTTATTTAAGTTCTTCTGCATTATAATGGAATACAAAAATAAGGTAATATGATATGGAAATACTCCATACTCAGAGTTCTTAACCTGAGCTGCAAAAAATCTTAATTATGTTTGGGTTGCTTTAATAATGCTTAAAAAACTGTGCTGTGTATTTGAAACAGTTGTTTTACATATGATATGCTGAATGATTCATTGACTCATTGAGGAATGAGTGCACGGGAGCTTTTGCAGAGCAAAGAAATCAACATTGTCTATTATGAACACAGCTGCTCATTTTCTACTCACTGTGCTGCCCATTCCAAAAAGCGAATAGTCAGTGGAAATGCAATGTCTCTTTAAAAGGTAAAAGCAGTTGGAGTCCATCATAGCTGTTTTGTTTTTCTGATGTTTAGCTGCAAATTATTATTATTATTAGTAGTAGTAGTATTAGCATTATTAAGATGGTGGAGAAGAACTCCCCTACTGGTGGAAGAGGCCTCTGGCAGAATCACACTCAGGGATAGGCAGTCATCTGCACTTTACATCAATCATCACTGACCTGTTATCTAATAAGACTTTAACCTAGTGACTGAGACCATAAACTCCACAGGAAAGTGATTACTGAGGTCATAGATCAAGGGAACCAAGTGCCATTTTCCAAAGATTTCCTTCCAGCTTATGAATGCCAAAAACCGTAATTTTCCATAGTTTAATTGACTGTGGCTCTGAAAGTAAAGTTGGTTGCCTATTAGTTGGAGAGTGAGTAAGTGTGTGATTGTTGGAAAATAGCTCTGCATGATTTGTGTGTGTGTAAATGCGTAGAGAATGTGGCTTTTAGTAAAAGCATTTTGAATGCTCGGTTGGAACAGCAAGTGTACCAGTCTAGGGTACCAGTTTAGGGTGGTGATTAGTGCTGACGCTTCACAGCAGGAAAGTTCTTGGTTACAACAAGTATGTAGGTTCCCTTCAGGTAATCTTTCACCTGTAGTCCAAATTCATGTATGTTATGTTAAATGGAAACATTAAGCGTTTAAATTGTGTAGAATATACAGAATAGAATATTATTTTATGGGTAAATGTGACTGTAGTATTTTAATGCGCTTTGAGTTGTCCATAAGACTAGAAAACGTTATATAAATGCCTGTCTACTCACTCGCCCTTCCATAGTAAGTACAAAATTAACGGTAAATGGAGACCTATAAAGATTATGCTAATCATGAGTACCACATTTTTTATTCTTGGACACTTTTATTCAGTTAAAATAATCCTCATACATCTTCTGCTGTCTAAAGCAAGACATTTTATCTCCCTTCTTTTCCTTTTTAAGGCAACTTTCTTCTGACTGGCTGGCCCTCATAAACAGCGTGAGCCTCTTGAACACCAGGTAGGCTGGGTGGGCGGGGCTTCTGTGCTAACTGCAAGAGCTGGGTGCTTGAGATGACCATATTGGCGATATCTTCTCTCCGTGATGTCACACAGATCTCACTGCTTGAAACTGAACATTAAGAACAGTCTGAGCCCAAGCTTTGGCTCACAGATATTACATGTTCATATAATGAACTCATTATTTGATTATCATATTGTATAATTTTTCTATGATAGAGAATAAGTAAAAACATAATTGGTTCCTTTTAAGGTCCATGCAATAGACAATGTTGCAAAGTGTTGCAAACTTCACTTGTATCTATAATTAATCAGATAGTGACGGCAAAGTCTAATGTATAGTAAACTTTTTGGGTCCACCTTTATCCATTTTATTGATTTAGAGGCAGAACGGATCATCTTGATGACACTGGGTGGAACTTAATCTCTTGTATGTATAGCAAAAAATTTAATTTTGTGTAGTAACTTTTTTGTTCTTGTAGCAATCATGTGTGTTTTGTTGCCAGCTGTATCTACACAGTATGCATGGATATGTTTTGCCCACGTGAGAAAAATCATGTGTCTGTTAGGAAATAGGAGTTTCTGCAAGCTCGGCCAGTAAAGGGGAGGAGGACCTCGCTGCTTCAGCCATTCTGCGCCTGTGTGTTATTCTGGGTCAACCATTTCCCTGGAATGTTCTGCCTGCTGCCAAAGACAAGTCACTACAAAGGAATGCACACACAACAGCACAGAAACACAAGGATGACTTAAAAAGGCCTGAATATGAGGACATAGAGCATTTCTCCTGTGACTGCAACCACTGGCAACACATCCAGAATGCTTCCTCTATTTGGCACTTAGAGGCATAAATGTTCCAAATGATACCTACAGTTATGAAATAGGTGTATACAGTATGGATAACCATTTGTGTTAACGCTACAGAATGCTCCCATGAGGATAATTAATTTGATAAGAGGAATGGTTTTAGAGAAGCAGAAGTACGTGTTTTTACCAAAGGCAGAGTATAGCACTGCTTTACCCTCTGTCTCCTCATCCTCCCCATCAACAAGCTTTTTTCATTCCTCCCCGAGCACAGATTGTTGCAGCAAGGATGGCTCTTCTGCCTCACATTCAAAATGGGCTTAATCCTTCAGCCGTATACATTGTCAGATTTGTTTGTGTAGGCAAAGGAATGTGTGTAGGAAAAGGAGGTGTTCTTTGACATTGTGAAGTGACTGCAGTACACTGGAATTGTATGTGATTGTACTATGCGGCAGGTTGTGGGGGGAGGAAGCAGCAAGGCAGCTGCAGCATGAAAGGTGGAGGTGGTGGTGGGGGGGTAATATGGATAGTGTAGAGAAAAATGAAGAAATGGGAAATCCGGGGAACCTGTTTCCAGGGCAACAGAGGTCTGGAAAAATACAGGCAAGCTGGACTTTTTATTCTCCACACTGCACTAGCCCTCTGGCAAGACACTGCAGACACCTCTAATGACTCCAAAACACTCACTGGCCCTGCTGCTAAAATACTGCCAGGCATCAAGTGATATACGCACCTTTTCTTAGTGTGTGTGTGTGTGTGTGTGCATGCTGCCTAGGAGCCAATACTGTCAAACATGTGCATTGCAGGTGCATGTATGATGGGAATGAGTGAAAAGCACACATGTTGCATGGTGCATGAATCAAACATAAATGATCATTAGCAGGTGACGTCATGGTCGATGATGCCCCCCCCCAACTCCCAACTCCCTCCCTCTCGCCACAACACACACAGGCAACATCGCTCCTTTTCTTGTGTAATGACCTGCTGCTCTGGTCTGCAGTCACTCAGCCGCCAGACTTGTAGGAGGAGGGACGTGAAAATGCCTTTCTCTGTGGGAGACAATGACTCTGTGATCTCATGAATATATTAGAGGGTCACTGAGCAATGAGCAAGGTATACAGAGCAGCCATTCTCTGCCTGCAAAAACCTATTGTAATTGACTCAGCTGGAGTCATCGTGTGTATTGACACACACGAGAATAGCTGTGTTAATATATAAACACATTAGTTTACCTTTGTGTGTGTGTGTGCAATGATAATTGCAAAAATGCATTATAAATCGCCCAACTAGCCTCTGCTCGATAATACGGCCATCAAGCAGCTTTGTCTTAATGACACGACTGCGACACTAGTAGCTAAGCTAACGTTGTTTAGCTAACGTAACTACCTACAATCAAGCGGCTTCGTTGTCTGGCAGCTGGAGCAGATACGGGGTGAGTTCTGCGGGCACTTATTATCAGGAATACCGGTTCCAGGAAATTAGTAAGGCGCTTTTATTATCGCGTGAATAATTACTTAGTTAAACTAATTACTTAATTAGTTTAGGGTAGGAAAATAGAGTGTTACACAAACTTATCAACGCGAGCTAAGCATCCTCCATTTAGCTAACGGTGCCAACCGGCGGCGTGTTCACATCCCTCCACAGCTCTGTTTCCACTTCTCTGCTGGCATTCACAAGACAGCGATACACGGACTTGCTGCTAGGGTCACAACAGCACGTTGCAGCTAACCAATACGGGACTATTGCATTGTTTCCCCCCACCGTTTCCTTGCTTTTAAATCGCCATTCGGAATCAAAACAACCCGAGTTTGATCATCAGTCCAGGCAGGTCGGTGAAACAAAACATCTGCTATTCTCATCTTGTTTTTTTTTTTAAAGTGACGCTTACACACTCGCGCAGAGGTTGAACTCCTCCACACAATCTATGCTGCTGATTTTTCCTCCCGTTCTGCTGCACGTACATTACAGCCGCATGTTTTGTTTGTACTGCGATACTCTTGAGTTGAGTGCTAGTGTTGATTTGCATGTTGTACACGGCTCTGATTATCACCTTTTATTCACCTTATCATGTCTAAATGTATGTCACCATTAATTTGCAGTCCATTTCGTTAACTGGGTGTTTCGGGACATTTATAGGCATAGGTGGTCGTTGTTGTTGCGTTGCGATATATATTTCTGAGCTGAGGTAGCCAGTGCCCTGTTTTTTGTTTTGTTTTTCCTTGGCCATGACTTCCTGGATTGTGTGAGGGGTACAATAACATGTTGTTATGGCATGAAGACAGACTGTTATTTTGGGTCAGCGTTGACATGAAAAGACAGATTCTTACCTTTGTTAACCTCGTTATACGTTCAGAAAAGGCTCAAATGAATATTTATGGTGAAGACTTTTAGCTGCTTTTTCCTGATTTATTTAGTTTTTAAGATGAAGTTGGGCATACATTCTAGTTGGTGACTTAGTGAATGTAATTCAACACTTTCTTTTTACTTGTGTCTAGGATTGTATTTATGCCTAAGGTATGTGTGCTAACGGAAAAGGGGCTAGTGGAATAACTAGTCTAGTACAGTATAATATAGGATAGAAAAAACCAAACAAACAGAAAACATGAGTGAAGTTTGTTTAGGATTGAGTTGCACTTTGTACTCTGGACTATGACTGCAACTTATTGTTTTCATTAGGGGTGCACTGATTGTGAAATTTTTCTCTAGTATTAATGTTTAAAAACAGCTTTTGTTTTCCTTATTGTTCAGTGGAAATAATTTTTTTTCTTTTAGATTTTTTTTTCAAATTACTATAGACCACTCACACTGGTAAATGCCATATTATTTTCTGTTATTCTGATACCAGTCAACAGACTTAAGGTTTAAGAAAAAAAAGCTTTGAGCTTTTCTCTACACTTCTGTCCAAAATGTTTTCAGGTTGTTGTCACATGTGATGTAGGTGATATTTGGGAAGCTGACACCAAAGATTCGACCTTTTTTTCCCCTTGGAAGTGACAACTGTTTGTTTTCAAAGTTGCTTGTTAGTTAAATTTATCAATTGTTTCATCAGTTGGTATATATGAGGGGAATAATGAGCTTTTAGCTTGTTTTGGAACTGCATTTGTTTTAATACTAAAGACACAAACAGACAAGAGGCATTATTTCTTGTTAAAGTTGGCCCACAACTTCATCTAGGATTGCTGCAGACAGGCAGACACACACACACAGCCCGCTTTACTAGCAGTTAAAGTAGTTAACAATAAACAACAGTAGGAGGAATTTGGAAAGGTCAGTAAAGTTTCCTTCTAAACAATATTGTCACATTAAACATTTTCATAAAGGTTAACCTGGCCAGTGTACACACTGATGTTAGCTGCTTAACTATTAGTAGTTACTAGATCGCCACAAGCGTAGTTTCAGGGGCTCAAAAGCTAGTGTACTCCAAGTTCTGGGCCTACACTCTGATAATTCTGAGGGTTGCAGCTGAAGGTTAACTTAAGCTAGTGAGTAGTGGCTATGGCTAATAATAAAAAGCTAATTTTAATTTTGGAGCTACCCAGCAAACATCAGTCGTGTCCGTCTGTAACATTATAATTTATGGTGTTAATTTGACAGGATAACACAACTATTTGTGTCTGAAAGTTATTTCAAGAGGAAAGCTTAGCAACTAGAGCGAAAACTGGTATCTTATCTTACCAGCTTTATTTGATCAGCAATGAAAATGTGAAGCTGAAGTTACTAGAAGCGCGCTTACCTCATACAGTCTAAATATAATCACTTTTATTTTTTGTTAGCGTTAGCATGCTGTCTTCACAGATGCTTGCAAAGAACCAAAGTTGTGTTAGCAGCATAATGCGGTTGTTTTTGTCCTGGATGCCGTTTTCCACTTTACCATTTATCTCGTCCTTTTGTGCAATAAAAATAAATATCCATATGTCTCTTTATTTTCCTCCACTGACACACAAAGTAAAATCAGCTGATTGTAGTGAGAGTGCAAGAACTGATAAGTGGGGTCAATAGGCAAGGAACTGTAAACTGGTTTTCCACAACCACCGGTTCTCGATTCCCATTCCTACTCTTCACCACAGTGAGGATTGCAGCATATTAGTTTAACATTGGTATTTGGTTGCTGCTCTGTATTGGCAGATACTGTGAGCAGTGAATGTGAGTGCGAATGGTTGCCTGTCTCTGTGTTAGCCCTGCGACAGACTGGCGACCTGTCCAGGGTCTAGCCCGCTTCTCGCCTTATGACAGCTGGGGTAGGCTCCAGTGCCCCCCGCGACCCTGAAACGGATAAGCAAAAGTGGATGGATGGTAATCTAAAAGTGCTGGCTGAGTCTGCACTTGCTCAACTTACCTGTTTTGTTAGAACAAGACACAGTCAGAGCTTCCATCCCATCTCCCTCTTGTCAGAACCTTTCTTGCTGATGTGCTAAAGAACAACTTTTTCATTTTCCATCTTTGAATCACACATGTTATCCAAGGTAGAGGAAACTTATCTGTGACAATGCTAAATCACTGAAGCTATGTTCACCAAACATGGAAAGCATAAGTTTTCTAGCGAAACTGAAATAAGCACAGTTTTCATTGACAATATTGGACTGCGGCCACAGAATGGCTGTAATGTAAAGGATGGCTGCACATACTAATTGACAGACAAGAAGCTTTATGATACCGCTCACTGAGATTTAAAAAACAAAAACAGAACATATTTTTTTTTCTTATCAGTGTATAGGGGTGGCGCTTTTTGCATTTTTAAAATTTTGGCTTTGAAAGGTATCATAAGTCTCCAGTTCTTGATCTGAAGGTCAAAGTCCCAGAGACCTTGACCTCAAAGTTAAGATCAGAGGTCAAGTTGTCTAAAAGATCTAGACAGTTGGATTTTCAGATACTGTGAATTAGGAGTCAAATGTGTGTCAAATTGTTAAGTGGCTTTTTTTGGAATTTGCATCAGAGGTTTACTTTCTTTTCAGTTGTGTGTGTGGGAGAGAGAGAAGTGAAGTGTTAAATAGGGCTGCAGTTTCTAATTTTTTGTGATGGATTAATAGTGTTTTGTTGAATAGTCCAACTTGCACATTTTCAGAAAAGCAGCAATTATTTGCATTTGAAAAGCTTAAATTTATTAATTTTAGGCATTTATGCTTAAAAATTAAAAAAAAAAACTATCTGAAATTTTCTTAAAACGTTCTTAAAAGCAGGAGCTGGAAAGCAGGAATGCAGGTATAGGAGCAGAGGGTCAGTTGTGAGTTGATTGAGTGGCTTTGGTGTTTTGGCTGGCAGTGTGTTGACAGTAACAGAGAAGCAAAGAACATATGGTGAGAAATGAAATGCTGCTAGACATCATTTTGTCATTTCTGTACAGGTAGTCTGTGCTGGTTGTGTTCACATTAAACCTGTGATAAAGTTAGACATCATAGATGTTTCATATTTATTTTTGTGTGGTTTTTGCCATCCAGCTGTAATGAGACAACAATAAGTTGTAAAGTGCTGGAAGTGCTTTTTGATGAATGAGAATTCAAGTATGGTGGTTACATGATCCAAGATTCAACTCTCTCTTTCTTTCTTTTTATACAAAATATGAAGTGTCTGACCTAAATCTACAAAGTGCAAATAGAAAGCCAGAGAAAAGATACAGTGGGAGGGGATGTTCAAGGCTCTGATGTTGGAAAATTAGCATGTCAGTTGGTAACTGTCAGATAAAGAAAACCTTGAGTGGGAGAACCCAGGAGGAGAGCAGTGGCAGAGCAGTGAGGAAGAATGTGCTGGGAAAAAAGCATCTGTCATTAAAGGAGGAAAAGGCACAAATAAAAAAGCAGCGGTGTTAACAAGTTTAATCTGTTCTTGCATGTTCTCATGTGGTGTAACCTTTTTTGAACACTGTAATTAAGACATGCTGTGTGTGTAGATTAAAATGGTCCAAGCGTCACATTTGTCTGCACAGTAGAGCTGCAGAAATGTGACATTTCAATTTATGGAGGTTTGATGCTTTTTTTTGTCATATATGACAGGGTGTCTTTTACAGATGTACCAATATCAGGTAATTTTAACCTTTTTCTTGTATAATAATATATTGGCAAATATAAATTGCATTTATATTTGCATGGATGATAATTAGCTGTTTTGTCAATTTTGCTTTAGCTACATAATAAAAGTAATTGAGTTGTTTTAGGCTTTTAGCTTTTCATCACACGAAGTCTTATTTCTTTATATTGTTCTTCTAAGGAGCCACACTTTCTTGCAGTTTTTCTGAAGCGGTCTTGAGACGGTAGTTCAAAGTTTTACTTTTACAGACAGACATGTCTATAGGAGATGAAAGTCATACATTCTTCACTCTATTGCTAAGGGAGAGGCAAGCCACCCTTGATAAAAACCTAATTTCTGTCACTTGGATACGCAGTCTTGCTCTTTGGGTCACTACCCATAGCTCATGACAAGAGGTGAGGGTTGGGCCATAGTTTGACCGGTAAATCAGTAGCTTTGCTTTTACGCTGAACTCTCTTTCTACCATAGCAGACCAGTACTGCATCACTATAGCCACAGTCCCAACCTGTCTGTCAGCAAGACCATGAGATGCTTAAACTCCTTCACTTGGGGCAGCACCTCGTCCTTGAACCAGTAGACCATGGCTTCAGACTTGGAAGGGCTAATTGTTATACCCATTGCTTCACACTCAGCTGTGAACTGCTCCTTTTAAATCTAAAAGACATGGATTGAAAATACACTATGCTTCAAAATGGATCGTGGTTTTTTTTTATTTTTTTAATATATATAATACTTGTTTATTAAGGCCCTCTTAAAATAAATTTGCACAAGTAAAGACAGTGACAAAATATTTTAGAGAACTGAAATATCAATTGACTGTATATTCAAAACACTAGCATTTTTCTACAATATTACAACTTTGAAATGGCACCGAATAGTAGGAAGGACACGGCAACCTGCTAGTGATCAAAGAAATCAGAACTCAGAACAGCGCTATATATGCCTTTTTAATCAACTTCACACTACCATAAACCTCCAGCAACCAACTGGGAGAGTAATATACATTGTTCCCTATTGTCCCCCAGTTACATGAGCTTAAATTGATGTCACTTAAACACAACACAGAGATGTTCTGGACATAAAGTTAAAGTGGTTGTTTCTTCACATTCTTTTAATGGCTTGAATTCATTTTGTAAGGGTTTGGACTCCTTTGAACACAGGAAGCAAAAGAAGTACCTTTTGTATTGGTGCCCTTTTATAACTATGGGCCCTATTGGCTGATGGAGTTAATGGTTAACTCGTGTTTTTTTTTCATTAAAATTTCTTTTAGATTAATCTTTAAAATGACTGTAAATTTATTTATGTATTTATTATTTGTAAAATTATGTTCACACATAAGGTGTGTTCAGATGTGTTACCATACTCAGATGTTTGGGTGACAGCAAATTATTTACCCAGGCGATAATAAATTTGATGTTTTGTTTTGTTTTGAATAATGCTTTTTATTTTTTAATAATGAAAAGCATCAAATTGTCTAATTGAAATATTTTAAACGGCAAATATTTCATCTTTTCATCCTTATGATTTTTTCTAAATGATCAACTAGCTTCACTTGTGTTTTGGATTCAGAAATAATCAAATTGATAGTGATCTCTGTCTTCAAACAAAAATAAAACAGGAAAAAATTCTGCTTAAGCTTTAAACGTTTGTGTCGGTAAGTGACTATTGTACATTGGTGTTCTGAGAGAGGACGGTGCCTCTCTGTTCTCTTAAATTTCTTTTGATATCAGCAGGCTAAATATAGCTCGCAGCACCCCTCCCCCTCCTTGACGAGGTATCAGAGCCAAGAGAGCAGTCAGTGATAGGCTAACATTTTGATGTGCACAGTGACACACACACACACACACATTAAAGTGAGTTGCTCAGAGTGGGACGGCACTGTCTTTGTGCACAGAGTACGGGCTACAGTGATGATAAATTGCTGCTGTTTGCGGCACCAAATGAGATTTGAGTATTCGTCTTTTTCTGTGCGTCTCAGGGCTGCCACTGGAGGATGGTGGGGGTACTCCGATGAACCTCCTCAAGTGCATGAAACCCTCCTTGCCTCCACAAAGGTATCCACACACTCACACAAGTGTGACCATAAGCTCAGTGTCCTCAGGTGAATCATGTGACCCTTCACCTGCTAAGCCAAGCAAGAATGAGTCTTGCATTACTAGGCAAGCCACTACAAGTTATAATGGAATGAAATTTTTCCCATTAGTTGTTCACTTATTTAATATGATTTAAATATACAAATTGGTTATTTCATTAAAATTTTCAAATTATTTTTATGTATGTTTGAAGTGTTCTTAAAACTACTCTTTCCACATCATATCTTCTAAAATTAAAATATGAATAACTTAAATAACTTTCATTTTCAAGCAAACGTCCCAAGCATTTCAAGGCTCAAATAGACTAAATCAGTTTTCTTTGGATTTTGGAGAGCAATCCTGCAGTAAGCTTTTTAAAGGTCTTACACCAGATTTGTCTATAACTGATTGGTTGTCTGTGATACCTACACTACGCCTGGTACAATAAAAGAAATAGTTATGTTTTTCAGAATTTTGAAAGTATGGTTTATTGTGAAATTCCCAATATAAAATCTTTCTTTTATGGCTTTATGCCTTAAAGGGACATTGTCATCTCCAGTTTCATCAGTGCCGTCTCACTTGATGGGGAAGATGTTTTTTTTGAGACACAGGTTCAGAGGGAGAGTGAAGTCAGCGCTGCACGACTTGTAGTGTCAAGCGATAGGAGTGTGCACTGCGTGTGTTAGCTATTCTGACCAGTATCAACCCTTCTTCATTCTGTCTCCTCCTGCACTCCATGGTCACATTTTGCTGTTTTTATGGAGACAAATTCATAACACATATGAAATTATGATAATTTTTATTATGAACTATTAATTTAACAAAGTTCCTAAACATTACATGTTAAGCAGTCATTCGTAAGCAGTCTGTTTTGTGCTGGCTATAGCTGATGTTCCCCTGCAGGCCTTTCCTCATGCAGTCATGGAAAATCAAAGGAAGAGAAGTCCAATTGCAGAACCATGCTGGCAAATATAAATCAATGCAGATGGATAGAGAATGGATGGAGAATCTTTTGACTATAGACATGCTCAGTAAGTGTATGTGCTGCACCTCCGACCAGGAAGAAAACTTGGATGCATGGATCTGTAAATAATAAAGGAAAAAAAAAGAAGCAGATAACTGAATTCCCTCCAGTTTGAACTATTAAAGGGAATCCAGAGTGTTTTCTGTTAAGTCTTTTTGGATGCATCTGGATTCGCTTAAGCCGAAACAGTCTTAATTGAGTGCAGCCATACAGCTTGATGACTGCTGTTTCACTACAGAAAGAAGTGGAAGAAATGTGTAGGCAGCTCAACAACAAGCAGTAATGGGGGAAAATGGGGAAAAAAGTTACAGAAACATATTGAATCTGATTATTAAGTGAACAAATGCCAGATTAAACTTCTATGTCTTTACCAAAATATGGAAGAGTAATTTAAAAATATTAAAACTAAAACATCCATAATGGTGTTGAAGGTTTCAGTGTCAGTAAGCCTTTAAATATTGTGCTCTGAGACCGGTGCTGTCCTTTCCAGTAAATGGTTTTCAAGGAGGAAGCAGAAACCTTAACTGTGAGATAAATAAACCATGTTATGGTTCATCATTAGCTCGCCAAAGTAAAAGGTGCAATGATTACCTTTTACTCACGTCCTTGTGCTACAGCAGTAAAATGAGCTGTAATAAGGTCTGTTTTCATCATCTATTTTCGTTAGGAAATAATAAAGTTATGTCTGATATTCTGACATTTAATGTTATTGATATCTAGATGAAAGCTCTCTCTGCCTCTGCTGAACCTCCACAACTATCCCAGTGACTCGTATTCATATCCTCCTGCAGCATTGGCGGCTCCTTCATAAATGAGCCAGTCTCCTGGCAACCAGGCACCAATCAGCACGCAGGATCTCTCTCTGTAGTAACCACTGTGTGGGGTGTGACCAATCACACACACAATCAGGTAACACATGACTTGGTATCCTGGGTATCCTGGGACATTGTTCTCCTCCTGTTGGCTGTAACTATACAAAAGACTAATTTCGGAAGTATATACAAAGCCTGGGTTTAATTCAGAGTATAAAATCAAGGGCTGCTATTCTGACTGAGAATCTAGAAGTGAAATATTTCCCTTTACTAAAAGGGCTAGATTTTGTAAGAGGTACTTGTGCATATTCAGTTTGTTAACTAAAATAGATGGTAGTCAGGCAATCCCCTGTTTGGAAGCTTATTGTAGTGGATGGGGTCAGCAGCGAAACGGATGTCGGCCCCTCCAAAAAGAGGAAAAATCTGGTGTAAGTGCACACTGTGTATGAGATTTTCAGCCCTGTTCAACAGGGGACTAAAATAATTGTATTACTCTCCTTAAAGCCACCAGAATCCCTTGACGAAAACAGTAATTTTGCCTTGCACGATATGAGAGCTGCTCGAGCACCAGTGTTTCAGTGTGTTGCTCGGTATTTTTCATCATGATTGTTTTTTTGTTTTGTTTTTTCATAAATGTCCCGTAATCTACTATTAGAAAAGTAAAGATTAGAAAACAAAGTCATCAATGGGCTAGCTGCTTTTCTCTGAAAGACTTTTACTTTCAGGACACTGATATGGCTGAAGTTGAGCTGCTCTCAACGGTTACATCCACATTTCATTGTTAAATGTCCTATTCCTAACCTACAGTGCTGTTATAACTTTCACAAATACTGTTTCGTCCCAAAGACCAAAACATGTTTGAGTCTACTTAGAAGTACATGTGTAAAAAAATTACTTAATTATTTTAAAATAAACTGTCTCTCTTTAACTTTCAGTTTGAGTGTTAAGAGTTAACCTAGGAAGCCCACACTTTGGTCTAATGAATGTCTCCCACCACCTTGTCTGCCTTCATATCTTCCCGTCACTTTATGGTTTATATGACTGTTTGGGGTGAAATTATTCCTCCTATTCCTATGTAGGTGTTTGGTGCACCCATGGGCCCTGGCGATAGCTCTGGCAGTCACATGATGCCCGGTGGTAGCCCTGGTATGGGTCCTGGGATGGGCTCCCAGTTCATAGGTCAACAGTCATATGGAGATCCTGTCTCGAAAGGTTATGGCCAGCCAGTCATGTATGGACGTCCCAGCACTGCTTACAACCCAGCCTCCGCCTACAGTGGAAGGTATGCCATCCTATTGTTCTGATTATTGGCCAGTCTAGTTGGTGCTGTGAAACCACATTTTTTTATGCTCAGAGAAAAGGCAAAGAGAAACTACTAGTTGTAGTAAATTATGATCACCAGTTAATAGGTTAATATGCTTTTTCATGTCAAGTTAAAAGACATTGTAGATCCTTCAACACCAATTATTAAAAAGATGTAAGTGAATGTATGTATGCATACATTTTACCTTGAACGTCATTAAAAGATATATGCTGTACAGTCATTCCACCCTGGAAAATGAACATTCAAAGAAATCATGTGTATTTTAGTACTGACTATTTACACAGGCACAACTCCCCTAGCTTGCTGACTACATCCCATAGAGATGGTTTTATACTGTCCGACTACCAATATCACCGTAAGCAACTGAACTCATCTTTATCATTGCCAAAGTAACCTTACAGGGAGTGCAGAATTATTAGGCAAGTTGTAATTTTGAGGAATAATTTTATTATTGAACAACAACCATGTTCTCAATGAACCCAAAAAACTCATTAATATCAAAGCTGAATGTTTTTGGAAGTAGTTTTTAGTTTGTTTTTAGTTTTAGCTATTTTAGGGGGATATCTGTGTGTGCAGGTGACTATTACTGTGCATAATTATTAGGCAACTTATCAAAAAACAAATATATACCCATTTCAATTATTTATTTTTACCAGTGAAACCAATATAACACCTCCACATTCACAAATATACATTTCTGACATTCAAAAACAAAACAAAAACAAATCAGCGACCAATATAGCCACCTTTCTTTGCAAGGACACTCAAAAGCCTGCCATCCATGGATTCTGTCAGTGTTTTGATCTGTTCACCATCAACATTGCGTGCAGCAGCAACCACAGCCTCCCAGACACTGTTCAGAGAGGTGTACTGTTTTCCCTCCTTGTAAATCTCACATTTGATGATGGACCACAGGTTCTCAATGGGGTTCAGATCAGGTGAACAAGGTGGTCATGTCAGTAGTTTTTCTTCTTTTATACCCTTTCTTGCCAGCCACGCTGTGGAGTACTTGGACGCGTGTGATGGAGCATTGTCCTGCATGAAAATCATGTTTTTCTTGAAGGATGCAGACTTCTTCCTGTACCACTGCTTGAAGAAGGTGTCTTCCAGAAACTGGCAGTAGGACTGGGAGTTGAGCTTGACTCCATCCTCAACCCGAAAAGGCCCCACAAGCTCATCTTTGATGATACCAGCCCAAACCAGTACTCCACCTCCACCTTGCTGGCGTCTGAGTCGGACTGGAGCTCTCTGCCCTTTACCAATCCAGCCACGGGCCCATCCATCTGGCCCATCAAGACTCACTCTCATTTCATCAGTCCATAAAACCTTAGAAAAACCAGTCTTGAGATATTTCTTGGCCCAGTCTTGAAATTTCAGCTTGTGTGTCTTGTTCAGTGGTGGTCGTCTTTCAGCCTTTCTTACCTTGGCCATGTCTCTGAGTATTGCACACCTTGTGCTTTTGGGCACTCCAGTGATGTTGCAGCTCTGAAATATGGCCAAACTGGTGGCAAGTGGCATCTTGGCAGCTGCACGCTTGACTTTTCTCAGTTCATGGGCAGTTATTTGGCGCCTTGGTTTTTCCACACGCTTCTTGCGACCCTGTTGACTATTTTGAATGAAACGCTTGATTGTTTGATGATCACGCTTCAGAAGCTTTGCAATTTTGAGACTGCTGCATCCCTCTGCAAGATATCTCACTATTTTTGACTTTTCTGAGCCTGTCAAGTCCTTCTTTTGACCCATTTTGCCAAAGGAAAGGAAGTTGCCTAATAATTATGCACACCTGATATAGGGTGTTGATGTCATTAGACCACACCCCTTCTCATTACAGAGATGCACATCACCTAATATGCTTAATTGGTAGTAGGCTTTCGAGCCTATACAGCTTGGAGTAAGACAACATGCATGAAGAGGATGATGTGGACAAAATACTCATTTGCCTAATAATTCTGCACTCCCTGTAGAAACACTTGAAGAAGTAGGCTGGAAGCCAGCCATCAGTTAACACTGGAATGATGATAGTTGATCTAACTGTGGTACAGAAGGTCATCATGAGAGAGGTCCTGCATTTAGTAACCTTTTACATAACCTCAGTAAATATTTCTTGCCCACAGTTGCTAAACAACTGCAAACAGCTATGCAGCCCACCACATTTCTTTCTTTCCATTTCTGTTTTGTTTTGATTCCCTGCTATAGTTTTTTCTGCCTCAGGCTCTTCATATATCGGATGGAAGAGGGTGATCTCCCAAATCAGAGCCATATCAAATATAAATATCTTGTTTTGACTCTAGTGGTTAGGACTGAAATGCTTTTTTTAATTACATGCATGTAATGTAATATGGTTGCTCTCACCCACGACTCTGACTCATGCTAGTGACAAAACGTCACATAGTTATGTGTAGTTTACTAATCCCACTCATCTCCCAGTTTTCCTTTCTCTCCCCACAGTTACTCTGGAAACAGTGGAGGTGCCGGTCTAGGCGTTCGTCCACCCTCAGATTTCACTCAGGCTGCTGCTGCTGCTGTTGCTGCCGCCGCTGCCACAGCAACTGCCACTGCTACAGCGACTGTTGCAGCAATACAGGAAAAACAGAACCAGGAGCTGAGCTATGGCCAGGTAAAGGTCTCTGAGAAAAATATGTGCATCTCTTTGTGTTAGGGGAGGCATGCAAGAAGAGAAAAGGGAGAAGCTGCACATAGCTTTCATGGTTCAGGTGCAATCATTTGATGTAATTAGCTGATTTTATTTTCCATAAATGATAGTGAGTTGAACATCTGAACTCTGCGTTGGATGTTACCAGATGTTTCTGGTAGTTGCAGCTCTAGTTTCAACTTGTTCGTGTTGATCCTGATTGCCAAATTTTTGACTCGGATAATTTTAGCATCCAAGGTTGGACCTGTTACATGTCCCACTCTCTGCCTATAATCTCCTCTGAAGTTATTAATGAAGACACAAAAGCACAAAGAGAGCAGCAGGCAGTGATCATGTGCATCCTCTTTTAGCTTAAACAGACATGTCAATCAAGTATTTGCAATAAATGGCAATAAGTCTTTAACATCACTGTGGAGGAATTTTGGCTCACTCTTCCTTACAGAATTGTTTTAATTCACCTACTGTGGTGTGTTTTTGAAACATTCAGATGTTGACTTGTGTATTTAAGATACGTCTGGTGCATGACTCAAGTGTGTTTGAGCTTCAGGATTTTCTGGTAGAGAGCAGAATTCATGATTACATCAGCTATGGCAAGTCGTGCAGATCCTGAAGCAGTAAAGCAGTCACAGAGAATCACACTACCACCATCATGTTTGACTGTTGGTATGATGTACTTTTTCTGAAATACTGTTTCATGCTGAATGTAATGGGTTGTAAGTCTTCAGAAAAGTTCTGCTTTTGTCTTGGCAATCCACAGAATATTTTCCCCAAATTTCAGGGAACAACGAAGGTACTTTTTTTTTGGCAATGTGAGATGAACCTGACAGTTCTTTTTAGTCAGCAGTGATTTTTACATTGAAACTCTGAGCAAAAATTGCAATCTGTTAATATTTTGTCATTGTTGAATCATCATACCTAACTGAGGCCTGCAGTTTTTTAGATGTTGTTCTGGGTTCTTATGAGACTTGTGTGACTTCTTAATTACACTTGGAGTAATTTTGATAGGCTGAGCAATACTGAGCTTATTTTCCTTAAAAAATACACTTTAAATAAAAAAAAAATGCTATTTTTATTTACTTGGGTTATCTTTGTCTAATATTAAACACTGTTTGATAATCTGAAAAATGTACTGTATCTGAAAGTGTGACAAATATGGGAAAAAAACCCAAAACAAAACATCAGGTAGGGGTCTTTTGATCCACAGCACTATATTGATATTGATTAGACTTAAGTTAAATGGGATTCCCATTTTAAGTTACAGGTTGTATTTATTTCAACTACCAAAACTGCGACTGGGCAAAAGTAACTTTCACAGCTCTGAGTTGCTTAATAAATGCAGACCCTGACTCGCTGTGACTGAACTCTGTGAACCGTCAATGCTGTGGAAAAGATCCAGTTAACTTTATAACATTTTTGTTTTTTTCTCCTTTCCTTTTCAGTTGGGCGGAACATCCTCTTACAGCACCCAATTCCTATCTCATGCGGGCCCCCGTGGCCCTCCAGGGATGAACCCTGGCGGGATGATCTCTTCAAGGTCTGGACTTCCACCTTCCACCGGAGGCTTGTATCCTTCTCACCCTGCGCATATTCAGAGGATTCCACATCAAGGAGGCTATCCAGGCGGACAACAAGGACTCAAACGGCCTTTCCATTCCGAGGTCTGTGATCCCACCAAATGTTTGCTCAAACTCAAACTATATTATAGTATATTGTCCTCCATCCATCTATTTTTTTTTCTGTATATGTTTATCAGGGACTTGGGGTGGGGTGGGGTAGCTACCATATTCTAGCTACCATAGGGCAAGGGTCAGGGTACACCCTGGATTGATCGCCAATCCATCACAGGGCTAACAAAGAGACAACCATTTGCACTCACATTAACACCTGTGGGCAATTTATAGTCACCAGTTTAAAAACATCATTTCACTTCCTATCCCCACTAATTGTCTTTGGACCGTGGGAGGAAGCCAAAGTACCCGGAGAGAACCCACGAAATCATTAGGAGAACATGCAAACTCCACAAAGAAAGGCCCTGGTCAGATGGTGGAGTCAAAATCAGGACCTTCTGTTAGGCAACAGTGCTAACTACCTCTCATCTGTCCTATTTTGGTTTATTCAAAAGGCAGAAAGAATTAGATACTTACTTGATAACTCATGCAATATCATACTTTCCCATTAAATTATGGATTAAACAGCTCTAATTCCACTTTACCGTCTCTGTCTTTTTCCAGGGTTTTTCTGGACCACAGTATGGCTCTGGTGGGATGTCGGGGTACACTAACCAGCCTCTGCAATACCCCTCTGGTTCGCAGCAGAGATGCGCCACCTCACCCTCTTACCTCTCCAGCCGGATGCCTCACGTGGGACACTACTCTGCTGGATCACACAATCCAGCACAGTTTTCCCCTGGAGCTGGACAGCCCAATCCTCCTCAGTATTATAAGGTGACCACAAAACAGAGCCAAGCAGCTTTGGGATGTTTGAGATTAACATAATTTTTAAGGATGTTTGACTATCTTATAAATTCCTAAATAAAACTTGTAATGTACAGAATAAAAGCAGATGCTGAAACTATTTCACCTGGCACAACTATATCTAGAATGTTGGTTATTGGCTGGTAGTTAGATGGTGCCAGTACCTTCTGGGGGGGGTCCTTGGGAATCAGAACTGTCTGGTTTTCAGTTAGCCTGGGTCTCTCTCATCAACTAGCAGGTGGTTCATTTGTACTGCCAGATGCTCATGGATCGCAGTCAGCTTCTTCAGCCAGTAGGCTGAATCATGTTGGGGCCTGGTGTTGTCCAGTGCTTCATACTGGAGACCCTTTCTTGGATGTCTGCCATTGTAATGGTTACTGAAACCTGCTCGGGGAGGTTGCTGTGGTCTGCTCTTAGATCCGCTAGCTAGCCGGTGATACATACTAGGGCTGCCACGATTAGTCGACTAGTCACGATTACGTCGACTATTAAAATCACAGACGACTAATTTAATAGTCGAGGCGTCGTTTGAAGCTTTGTAAGATCCCGAAAGACGCAGGAATAAGTAGTAGGATTTAAGAGTGTAATAACGGACCGAAACAGAAGATGGCAGCACTGCATGTCCAGGGATGCCAGCTGCCGTTAAACCCCGAAGAAGAAGAAGCAGAAGCAGTTAGGGGTGGGTTTTGATTATCAGTTTATCAATTAAAATCGATTCTAGCTTGGATAACGTGATATCGATTCATTAAAATCCTGAATCAATTTTTTCAATATAAATTTATTTTGCCCAAAACGCCAGAATCTCAGGTTAAACCTCACAAAATTTCAACAACCACCAAACAGCTAAAACAATAAATGAGAGCAGGTACACGGATTATGCACAAAGACGTAAACACAAAGCAAGGACCCGCTGACGCATCAGAATCAGCGAGATGTCGCCTTTCTCACCCGACGGCACGGACACAGTCGGGCTGAAAGCCGACAGCTCGCTGATTCTAATGTTTTGGCGGGTCCATGCTTTGTGTTTACGTCCTTTTTGCGCTAGATTCTGAAGCTGTAGGTTTTATCTCTCTCCAAACAATATTGATTGAACCAGCAGCAAAAAAAGATCCAAACTACCCTTCACATAAACATCGTCATGAATTTCCTCTTACTTTTGCTGTTTTGCTTCCACCGAGATAAAATCACACTTCATGCACAGCTTTCTCTCTCTCTCTCTCTCATAGTACACTTCAAGAACAATTTCCGTCTAAAAATCTTTTTTGTGCATTATTCGCTTGCTTATTACGCACAAGTCTCCTTTTACTTACTTCCGGAAAAAAAGCCTCATTTCTGTTGTTCAATAGGCTTCTGAACAAATGTAAACTTTTTAAAATTATGCAAAATTGCAAAACGCTTAGCTGTGTCTTTAAAACCTCTATAACTTTGCCCTGCTTCACCTCAGCAGCATCGGGTAATGTTCAGATGTTGATTAATGGTTTTCTTTCGTTTTTGATCTACTGCTGAATGTTTTTATAAAATCGTTTTTCTGTGTTTTATCCTCAGCTACTTTGACACAAAGGCATCTGTGATGCTTACACCTTTGATAAAGTCTTGCAAGTGTCAGCTTTCTTTTTATAGATATAAAAGCATGGAAATGTACTGGTGCATGATCTGAATTATAATATTTCTGAGTGTCTGAGCAAGATTTCCCCGAATCGAATTGAATCGAATCGTGGATTGAATCGATTCGGGACGTTGTGAATCGGAATCGAATCGATTCTAGTAATCAGTGACGATACCCAGACCTAGAAGCAGTGTCCGGTTTCATAGCTGTCCAAATTTAGCGGCTGCATCCTCCTGTGCCCGCATTTGTAGGCCAATTATGTTACAGCGATGCGGTGAAGCCTGTCCAAATTCGAAGACTCCCCCAAATCCGGCCGAAAAATGCGTCCTTCATTTCCCCAGATTTGAAGGATGGGTCGGGTGTATCCTTCGTGGCCCAACCTATCCCAGAATTCAAAGCGCAGCCCAGCCAATTCCAGTCTCAACAATGGAGGCAGCTACTTAGTTTTAATATTGCTCTTATTAATCATTCTGGGTCACAACATAAACTTTTAACATATTTTCAGGCGAGAATGTAGCTGTGTAAACGTCAAATATCTGCTCGATTTATCAAGACATCACATATTTGCAAAAGTGCGCCGACGTTTTCGGAGACCCATCGATAGCTAGAGGGTTGAAGGCTCACTAGAGCCGGCGAGAAACGCGAACTCCCGGCACATCATGTTCAAACCCCCCGCCGTTTTACTCTACTCAGGTTGAACATGATATATAAGTCACTCAGATAATTTAAAAATGTTATTGTTTGGCGTGTTTTATTTGTTCCTGAGTAAATTGGTTTGGCTGAGATTAAAGATATAGTTTTTACACAGCTGAATAAATGTCAAACAGAAGTGTGAAATGGTAGAGAATTTACTCCAGTGTCCTGTTACTAGTCCACTATCAAAATAATTGTTTGTGACTGCCCTAGTACATACAATGCATGGTATGGTTTCTCTTGCTCCTCTTTCTTGGGTTTCTGCTCACTGAGCACGTGGTCGGTTATAGCCATCTTCCTGATGTACTCGTGGATGTCTGTTGTCTTATCCTGGACTGTGGTACTGACACTCACTATGCCCTGGTCTCCTTCCTTCCGCTTAGTGTACAGTCTCAGGGTGCTGGACTGGGGTGAAACCCTCCATGCATGGTCAGGAGCTTTCTCGTCTTCATGTCAGTGGCTTCTATCTCCTCTTTTGGCCAGCTTATTATCCCAACAGGGTAACTGATCACGGGCAGCAGGTAGATGTTGATAGCCCAGATCTTGTTCATACCGTTCAGCTATCTCCTCAGGATTTCTCTGACCATCTGTGTAGTTGGTGGTTGCAGCTTTCCTAGCAGCCTGTTTGGTGTCCATTTACCTGTGGGATTTCCAGATATTTGTAGCTGTCTTTAGTGTTTGCAATTTTGCCTTCTGGTAGTACGATCCCCTCAGTTCTGACTACCTTCCCTCTCTTTGTTACCATGTGACTACACTTCTCCAGTCCTAAAGACATTCCATTGTCCTTCAGTCCAGGTGTGGGGCATCAAGTCATAGGTCTTGTAGTCACAGGTTGGTCAGTCTGGTCTTGCAGTCTAGGGCGAGTGCTTTGTCTACTTGAACCAATTTATTTATTTTTTACAAAACAGAAATGAGAGGACAATTGAAACCACTTGGCTGTTTTTGTTAAAATAACTAACTGAAGTTTATTGAGTTATAAAGATGAACTATTTAGAGTCTAGTTTTGCCTCTATATAACACCAAAGTGGATTTTAAACAAAATTGAAGGTACAAGCATCCAAGCCTGACACCCTGGCGCATGTCCAGGAGGGTCCTGGTCAAGCCGAGCTACAGCTCCTGCGCGCTGTGAGTAAGCAGATTCACGCGATTATGCGTTTTTCCTGTTGCCACTTGTGTTGCCCTTTAATATCATCATAGTCTTTAACTGCACTAACTAAATATCATGTTGAGCAGATGAAATCCCTTGAAGGAGGGACTTGCCTCCATTTGCCTGAAATTGGTAACAAATATACAAAATTTGCAGCCAAAATTTCCCTTTAAATTAAAAAGGCTGGCTTCCTGTTGGGTTTGGGCTATAGTTCCAAGAGACTTTTTTCTACAGCTTGAGACATTACATCAGGGTAAATGGTAATGGTAAATGGACTGGTTCTTATGTAGCGCTTTTCTACTCTGTCTGAGCACTCAAAGCACTTTGTACAACTAATTCATTCACCCAATCACACCCATTCACGCAAGCATGTCTAAGCTTAAGTGCTAAGTATCTAACATTCATACACATTCACACTCCGATGGATGCATCGGAGAGCAACATGGGGTTAGTATCTTGCCCAAGGATATTTGGCATGCAGACTGGAGCAGCCTGTGATTAAACCACCAACCTTCTGGTTAGTGGCTGATCTGCTCTGCTACCTGAGCTACAGCCACCCCAGGGTGTGCCATTAAATAAAAGTGTTCACACTGAAGTGTCATCAAGGTCTGATGTTTATTTGGATTTGACGTGAATCTGGTGAACCAGTATTTCAAAGTATATTACATGACTTTTCCTGTTCCCACTAGGTGGCACACCAACTTTTGCTGAGATTTGACATATCAATGTGTTCATTTCTGGACTCTCATGACCCCCGAGAAGCTTAGGAGAGACAGTGTTATGTTGGACAATGTGTCTTTGAGTTACAGCAGTTTCGTGCTTCATGGCAAAACATTTAAATTTGCCAAGTTGAAATGATAAAAGTGGTGCCAAAATTTATTATCTTCGATTCAAAATGGTAGACTTCCTGTTGGGTTTAGGGTATCACTCCTAGAGGATTTTATGTGTGTCTACAGATGCTACATGTCTGCCAAATTTCATACATGTACATGAAATACAGCATGTGGGCTCATTTCTTTGCAATTTTTTAGGGGTCACTACAGAGTTATTTTGCTCTGTCCATGTCCCAAAACCAGTAAAATACAGACATTTTCACCAGTTTTGATGCATGTGCAAAATTGAATTCGTTTTTGAGTATGTTTAGGGTTTTAAATATTCTATTCGCTTCACAGAGTAGATAGAGTAGGGCCTTCACAATTTTGTGCTTGGACCCTAATAATTAATACAATGTGAGTGAAGTGCAGACTCTCACCTTTCATCCAAAGGGTTTAACAAAAGAATTGCATTAATTGCAGATGTGTTTTCCCCACATCTTTCTGTCGACATTTCTGGGTACTCAATGTCATGTTTGGTTTTTGTGGTCTTCAGTCAGAGCCTTTCAATGGTCAGGGCAGCATGGCAACTGGAGGACCAGGAGGATACAATGCCTTCACACAGGCTGCAGTGAACGGGGTAAGTCCTCCATGCACTCACCCCATGCTGTCAACACTGAACACCTAAGCTCAGTTTCTCTTAGTTTTGTTATACTAAAATTCTATGGCTTCCTATATTTTATGAAGATTTTAATATCTAAAAGTTAGAAGTTTAAGTATTTTTTAATGTTTGAATTTAATTCATGCTGTTTTTGATTCATTCTACTTAGAAGTCGTGATGTTTGGTTGCAGGACTGTGTGAGGATTGTAAAGCAGAAGCTAGTTTTCTACTGCTTACAGTATCTAATGTTCATCATGGGGCATCATATAATTTGATAAGAATTTAGTAGTTTTAATTCCATTATCGATATCACTTTTAGATTTGATTCCTTGTCAGTTCGCATTAGGTTCTCACCAACTCTGATTTAAGAACAACATATGAAAGTCATTACAGTCGTGCAATTATTTGCATGCTGTCAAATTTTTGTGCGTGATGGAGATGTTGCCCCTGTTTGTTATGATCGATGTTGGGGTCGTTACTCCAAAAATTTATTACACATATTACAAAGAGAAATTTTTTTTAAGTTATGCAGTAGTTAGTTAATTACACACTGAAGAAAGTATTTTGTGTCACTACTCGTTACATTACTTTCATGGTTCTCTGTAAAATTATCTGAAAATCACTGTCTCATAATTAGCATTTAACAATATGAATCTATAGGCTACAGTCCCACACACTAACATAAATCCCTTTCCTAATGAGGACACATGATTTGTCTCTCAGTATTTACACAAGCTAACAGTATAAAGTAAAGAAGAAAACCAGTACAAAGACGCTTCAAAGCAATCACCGCAGTGATTCTACTGTAGAAACATGAACAGGGAGAAAGGTATTCAGGCTGCAACCTGAATGCTCATGCTTTTGTTGCCTGTTGAAATTCAGCGTCTGGCTGCTGAGGTTAGAATTCAGTCAGCTTTAATATTACTCAGGGTTCTTGACTAGCTTAGCATTAGCATGCTGTCTGTACAGGTATTTACAAAGAGCCGAAGTTCTGTTCTGAAGTGTAATGCAGTTATTTCTGTCCTAGATGCTTTTTGAACTTTTCTAATGCACTTAAGTTAAAGTACTTAAATTAAAGAACAACATGTGCTTAAATTAGATAGGGTTGTGCATGTAGAGAGGTGAAAAATCGATTTAATCCATTTAGTAATAAGGTTGTAACATGACAAAATGTGGAACAAGTGAAGTACCGAAAATACTTTTTAGTTAGGTTTGATGCTCTAAATATTCCTCATCCTCGTCTCTCAGCCAGTTCGGGGTGGGGTGCTTCCTGGGTATCCCACCTCACCAATGGGAGGGAATCCTACCCCTCCAATGACACCGGGGACCTCCATACCTCCCTACCTTTCTCCAGGCCAGGAAACCAAACCCCCCTACCTTACAACAGAAACCAAAGCCAACATCAACACCCAGCAGCCCGTTACAGGTGAGACTCAGCTGCCACAGAGTAAGTACACTGCTAAAGATGATATACAGATGAAGTTTGACTGGAAATAACAAATTACTTGAATTTAGGCTCTGTAGCATTTCCTTAATCTTGTGATGAATGGCACTGAAAACTTGCCTCTACCTCAGCTCTCACAGTGTTAATAACAGAGTAGAAGAATAATTAACAATTGAGAAAACAAACAAACATCAAAATGTTTAATTAAAAATTGATTGAGTCATAAACATTGTATCCACAAAAGAACAACTGATCACAAAAAAAAATGTAAATGAGAACACGTGCAGGTCAGAGGTTTTTAGTATTCATCTAAAAAGGTACAGTTACTTTTGTTTCCTTTCAGACTCCTCTCAGGATAAAATTAGGCATAAACAAAAGTGTCTGTTTTATTTGAAAAAATGGGATCACAACCTCGTGCCTCAGTTGTCTGTCAAGGCACCAGATAGACCTTGAATTCACTGATGCATCAGAAACTGCAACTTTTCATTCAAGGTAACCCCAGTGACGACCTGCGTCTGACTTTCCCTGTACGAGATGGTGTAGTATTGGAGCCTTTCAGACTGGAGCACAACCTGGCTGTCAGCAACCACGCCTTCCATCTGCGAGACTCTGTCTACAAAACACTAATGATGAGGTATAAAGACTGACACTGCAGTCACATGACGAGAGCAGAACAAAGTGAGAAACAGTGTTTGGAACAGTTTGAAGCCTGAGCTTTGGCTTACATAGATTACTTGTGCATACACTGACCATGTTTAATATCATCCACCATTGGACCAGGATATGACAGAAAAGAAAAAAATGTTATAGGTTCTTTTTGAAAATATTTGAGGGACACTGTGCTTGACTGTGGTGTGATATGTAAATAAATTGCTCTCTTCCTGAGCAATTTAAAACAGCAGAAAGAAAACAAATGAAGAATGTCTGACAGCCCCACCCAGTCTTTTCCCCTGACAGCTGTTTTGTGTCTCCCTCCACAGGCCAGATTTAGAGCTGCAGTTTAAGTGTTACCACCACGAAGACAGACAAATGAACACTAACTGGCCTGCCTCTGTGCAAGTAAGCATCCATATCTGTTATATATTTGTGGACGTCAATATACACACGTATGTACGTTTGGCTTTTTGTATGGACATTTATTATCAGTGCATTCATATGTCTGTTATTCATAGGTTTAACGATTAGACTAAGCACTAAACTCTGACCCTAAACTGAATTGTTACTTTAAACCTGAAGCCAAGTCTGAACCCTTAAAGAGGCATTTGAATGGATATGAAAGGGGAAACTTTGTGTCATCACACTGATGGTCTAAAACTCAGTGGTCTATAATAGAGATAGCTGGATATGTTTTGTATTTATTGGTTTGGTTTCCTGTGACTAATTATAAACAGTTCTTGAGATAACATTTTGAAGAGGTAACTGTCCCCACATTTCAACTTTAATTACCACCTTTAGAAGGGATCTTCTAAAGGTGGTAATTAATTTGCCAGGATTTTGTTGACGTTTTCTCTTCTTCTCTCTTCTTCATTTTCATCAGGTCAGTGTTAATGCAACTCCTCTGTCCATTGAAAGAGGTGACAACAAAACCTCCCACAAGCCCTTGTATCTAAAGCAAGTGTGTCAGCCAGGGCGCAACACCGTACAGATCACAGTGACAGCATGCTGCTGTGTAAGTTCCTCGATGTGACTGTTTCCTGACTCAGTCACAGAAATGCAGAAAATTTAGTACAGTATGTTACATTGAACTAATGAATTAACCTCATTTTGTACTCCTGTTTGCCCCTCATGTCTCTTTGTCCCCAGTCCCACCTGTTTGTTCTACAGTTGGTGCACCGGCCATCTGTCAGGTCTGTTCTGCAGGGTCTGATGAAGAAGAGACTGCTGCCGGCCGAGCACTGCATTACAAAGAGTGAGTTATCAACCTCATCAGTTATAGCAGGGCCCACTGGTTTCCACTTAACACTGTGCATTCATTCAGTGAAGCCCTGTACAACTTGGTATAGTGTGTATGTGTATTTGTATTTTATGCAACACTAGCTGTGAGCTCGCATATTGATTACCAAGGTTCTGTGACTAAGCCTCGAGTTGAACAGTTTTGGTAAATGGACTGGTTCTTATATAGCGCTTTTCTACCCTATCTGAGCACTCAAAGCACTTTATACAAGTAATTCATTCACCCAATCACACAAGCACTTTTTCTAAGCTGTTAGTGCCTATCTAATATTCATACACATTCACACTACGATGGATGCATTAGAGAGCAACATGGGGTTAGTAAGGATAATCGAACCACCAACCTTCCAATCAGTAGATGACCTGCTCTACCGCCTGAGCTACAGCCACCCCAGTTTTACCATAGCCACCTTGGTTTTTTAAAAGTATGCAGGATATGTGAAGAAATAGATTTGAAAAGCAGAGAGACAATTAACACTTATAGTCTAGAGATATGATAATGCTAATCATTGGACACGATAGTTTATGAACCGAATTCCTTATTGTATTCAGTATTGGTGAAAAGTAGCAACTGGCAAATGGACTGGTACTTGCATAGCACTACTGAGTACTCAAAGCACTTTGTACAACATGTCTCATTCAACATTCATACAAGCACTTTTTTCTGTCTAAGTGCTTTCTATCTAACATTCATACTCTGGTGGATGCATCAAATAGCAGCTTTGGGATTAGCAGCTTCCCCAAGGATATCTGGCATGCAAACTATCATAGTCAGGGATCAAACCACAAAGCGTTTGATTAGTAAATGACCCATTCTACCTTCTAAGTTACAGAGAATACAAAATGAAGAATGAAGGAGCTAACTTTGTAGACTTCCAGTTGTGAAAAATAAAATTCACCATTGAAAGAAAACTGATTTGGGGATTTATTGAAAGAAACTTTGCAAGGGGATCAGTACAGGACAAACAGTCTTCACACCAGCATTGATACAGAAAAATCTTTGTCTATTTCGGCTGTAGAGTTTTCTCCTCAAAGGAGTACTAGGAGCACTCGGGTAGTCATCTTTTTCTTTTTTATGGTCATTTTGTTTCAGTAAAAAGAAACTTCAGCAGTGGCACCATTCCTGGAACCCCTGGTCTGAATGGGGAGGATGGAGTGGAGCAGACGGCTATTAAAGTTTCTCTCAAATGCCCCATCACATTCAAACGAATCCAGCTGCCAGCCAGAGGCCATGACTGCAGGCACATACAGGTAAGGTCATGTGTGGGGATGGGTATCGTTTAGGTTTTATCCGATACCGGTGCCAAATCGGTACTTTTGAAACGGTGCCGGTGCTCAAACTGTGCTCAAACCGGTGCTTAAAGAATGGAGAACACAAAATTGGTCCAAAAACCTCTCATGTTCAGCTGTTTTTTGTAAAAATATAACAATGTTAGCCTTTTCTGCAGCTATGGGGCATATATGGTATCACTCTTGGCTGGAAGCAGTGCTTAAACAATGGAAAAAACACAAACTTTGTCCTAAACTGTTTTCCACTTTTTCTTTGGTCATTTTAGCGTTTTTAGCCAGGGTGAAGGGAGTATCTGCCATCAAACAAGAAGACAGCAGCATGTAGCTATGATGATGTTTGCTAGTTCACCTTACATGCATTAATGTAATAACGTGGTATAGCCTACTCACGCAGAGAAGAACGGCTGCTGCTGCCATCATCATCCGTCATCATTTCTGCTACACTGGCAGGGCTAGGGGCCAGGACTCTCCTCTTCGTGTTTTTGGGGGATGTTGCATAACAGGCAACCCACCCGCAGTAGATGTGCTCGGTGTGAGGTCTCGCAGCAAGCTATCAAATACGGCGCATTTCTGGGCTTTTAAAAAAACGCTATGCGTCGCCAGGTGTTTCATCGGATTTGAGGTGTTACCTCCTTTGACAGTATCACAGTATCAGCTTAAAGCACTTGTTGCAGGCTGCTGAGTTTGCATATTTTGCTATGAAGTACAGCCAGACTTTTAACCGCTTCGCCTTGGGCATTTTTAATCTGTAGCTCTGCTTTAACAGAACGTACGTACGTACCTGGCCCCACCTACTATCCTCGGAAACGTAAAATGATTGGCTAGAATCTAAAGTGTATCACAGCTCAGGAAAAAAAAGCACCGAAATAAAGCACCGAAATGTGCGCTGCTTTTCGGTCTGGTTACTACCGTTTATGTCAGAACCGGTGCCATCATGGCACCGGACACCGGTACCCATCCCTAGTCATGTGTGCACTTATTACTTACACCTCCAGATAAATTCGGTGGAGTTCTTTCAACGTGGAAATCTTTGATCTTTTTTTATAGTGTTTCGATCTGGAGTCCTATTTGCAGCTAAACTGTGAAAGAGGGACCTGGCGATGCCCTGTTTGCAAGTAAGTGCATTAACAATGACTTGTTGCCCTTTTTTCATAATCAGTAATCAGCATAAAGTTTTCACCAGCTGTTTGCTCCTCTTGTTCACAGTAAAACAGCTTTGCTAGAAGGACTGGAGGTTGACCAATATATGCTTGGGATTCTTGTCTATATCCAAAAGTAAGTGTTGTTACTGTAAATAGTTACTTAACCAGTGGTATTTCCATACCACTGGGTCATGATACTCACCCCCCAAGCAGTCATGGCAGATGCTTGCTACTCCCCCAGCCTGGTTCTGCCAGAGCTTTCTTCCTGTTAAAAGGGAGTTTTTCCTTCCCACTGTCACCAAGTGCTTGCTCCAAGGTGGTAGTTTGATTGTTGGTGCTTTCTCTTTATGTCTCTACAGTCTTTACAATATAAAGTACCTGAGACGACTACAGTTGATATATACAAGTAAAATGACATTGAATTTAATTGATATACTCACTTCTGTACTGCTGTCATTTTTAACAAAAAACAAAGTAATTCTTTATTTGCCATAATCCTGAAAAATGATAAACTGCTATCTAAAGAGCTTGCCAATTTTCAGTTCACTACATTTTTGTGGTTAAAAAGAACAAGGTTCACAATAATGCTATATACACACACACACACACACACAACAAAAATGTTGAGTCACCTTTTATTTCTTTATATTTTGCTTCCAATTATTCTTTTAAAATCTTTTAAAGTTTTGCTTTTTCACATACTTTTTGCCCAGTCTTTACTTGACCATTTTCAGAGGACTATTTTTTGTTCGGTGAACAACTTAGCTCTGACCTTTTGAATCATTCAAGTGTAAAAAAGGCACCCAACTCATGAAATGAACTAGTCTTGTCGCTACACATAACAGAAAACTTAAGCCAAGAACCAGTTTTAAATAGTATTTTTAGGTACTTTAATAGGAGACCATTGCAAACACACTTAATTAGTTCACATTTTAGTTGAATTTATGAGAAATGACAAAGATAACATAGTTTGAAAGACATAAAATAGTTTTTTTTTCACCAACAATAGGATTCCAAAAGCGCTATTAGCAGAAATAGCTATTATTGGCATTTCTTAACATGCTGTGTGGTGTGTCCTTAAAAAACATGAGGAAACAGAACAAGTGGAGGACAACAAGTGATGGATCTAAACAGGAGCATTAGTTTCCATTCATCACTCCAGTGTTGTTAATTGGGAATCATCAGATGGTTTGGGTTCTCTCTTTAATATTGGAAGCTCATCATAGTATAAAATGCCTTAAAATGACTGTTGCTGGGAACTGGTGCTATATAAGTAAAACTGCATTTAATGAATTATGGACACATGATATTAGAAATGGACAGAATTTGATAAAAGCTCCACATTTTATTTATTTTTGTTATTTAATGTCCTCAATTTTCATGTCTCACCCTTCCCTCCCTTCCTCAGTTCAGACTATGAGGAGATCACTATTGACCCAGTATGTGGTTGGAGGCCGGTGCCTGTTAAACCTGACCTTCATATAAAAGAGGAGCCTGATGGACCAGTCCTCAAACGCTGTCGCACAGTCAGTCCAAGTCACATGGTCTTACCAAATGTGATGGAAATGATTGCTGCTCTGGGCCCAGCATCATCCCCCTACCAAAGTCTGAATGCAGGAGGCAGGAACACCCCAGAGTACAGTCGGCCAGGTATGAAAGAGGACTTTTTTTTTGTTGTTGTTATAATTTGAAGAGAGGCGGTTATAATTAACATACATAAAATATAATGAGATTTTTTTGTTACAGTTTAAGTCTGATTCCATTTTATTCACATTCCCTAACCCACCTAACCTCCAAGATCAAAATGTAAAAAATAATGAATCTACATGAATATACAAATAAACATTTTTAATATAAAAAATGTCTTACAACTAGGTTTTATAACTACTCTTTAATAAAATTTTGAGATAAAAATAAGTTGGAGATTGGTCTATAAAGATGGATAGATGTAATTTTGGTTTAGTTACCTTTCCTATTTTTTTGTATCCTTTGGTCATATTTGTATGTTAGAATCGGTCATCTTTTTCTGTATTTCTTGTTTTACTTTGTTCCATAGTTTGTGGAATTATTTTTCTCTCAAAAGTTGCATGTGACGAAAAACATAATCTGCAAAGCAAGTGTGCACTGGGATCTAGCAATTATAACTTTGACCACAATAGAGATGTATAAACCTGCCATCAAAAAGTTGCTCACTCTGCAGGACACGCATGTAACTGCATACATGACTAGATTGGAGTGCTTCAAAATGTCCCTTAGAATTATGGTTTTTAAGATTTCTTCAGCATTAACGTAAACCAGTGACAGTTGTCGATTGTCGAGTTCTCCGATTACTTTTTTCAACTAACAAGTAAAGTAAGGGATTACTGTTACTGCATTACTAGAACGTGATTTTGTTTGTGAGAGTGTCTCATGACAATGACGTATGAACGTGCGGCGTCCGTGGCAGCAACAGACGTGTATTGATCAACAATGGATAATATGGACTGCGGAAGAGAGTACGACCATGCAGCGTTTAAAGCTTAGAAGTACTGACACTACTTTGAGTTTTATTCTGTAAAAAGTGACAAAAACATTAGCGTCCACTGTACACTAATAAAGTAACTAATTACTTTTTAAAAAGTAATCAGTAAAGTAATGGGATTACTTTCTTGGGGAAGTAATCCGTAATTAGTATCTAATTACGATTTTCAAGTAGCTTGACCAACACTGGTTGTCAGTATTTCCACTGCTGCACAGCAAACAGCAACTGTTGTTAAGAGCAAACTTTATTTTCGAAATTATAAACAGATACATTTTAAAACAACACTTAAGTTGCTGCCATGGTGTAACTCTGTTTAATGCAATAACCTCCATTAAAGTGACCAGTCACTTTAGGACCCCTTTTCCTTTGGGTTCCGCATCCAGACAGTGAAAAGTCTGATTTGAGCGAGCAGCTTTTAGCGCAAAAGCTACCCACAAGAGTGTGAAGCTGCACCCATACACACAAAGCAGACTCACGTGTGCAAAGGCTTCTTTGTGCGTGTAGCTGCTAAGTTCTATTCACACAGGATGTTGAATTTGCACACAAGGAATTTAATTGCGCGAGTGGCAATGAATACCTGCACCATGAAATGAAATTACCTTCTCAGATTATTAGGAGGCTGAGTAGCACTGGCGGCTGCCTGCATGTTTGATTTTAGTGTCACGGTTTCCTCATTAGATTTGTGTTATGCTTTTTTACATTTTTCCAGCCTTAATAATTGGCTCGTTTTCTGCCTACTTATGATATAGCATTCTTGGTCCTCACTCATTAGTCTGTATCATTTACAAATTGTGACAGTTATCTATTATCACGATACCAAGGAGGAAAGATATCAGCCAGCAATGATTTTAAGGTAGCAATTGTTGCTATCTGTCTGTCCGTCCGTCCGTCTGTCTCTCTCTCTCTCTCTCTCTCTTTCTCTCTCTCTCTCTCTCTCTCTCTCTCTTGCTCTCTCTCTCTCTTTCTTTCTCAGAAGGGTTAAAAGGCCTTTTCCAGACAATTTGAAGCTTTTCCCCAGTAGAAAACAGACAGTTTGCCATCTTTCCAGGAGTGATCGTTCCAACAAATTTCCCCCAAAAAGCCAAGGTCATACAATGCTCAGAGAAATGGCACCATGCCCAAGAGCTACATCTGAGATACTACAGAGCAGAGTTAGCATGTTAACGTTTATGACAATCAGATTAGAAAAACACTGTACAAGTACAGAAAGCCTCATCTCACTAAAAAGAGCATGGCAACACTACTTCACTTTCCAAATTTGCATTTGAACAAACCATGAGACTTCTGGAACAATGTCCTGTGGACAACAAGACCAAAGTTGAGACCTTAAAAAAACTGTGCATAAAGACATGCCCACAAACTTCAATTAACCGATGCAACACTGTTAGAAAGTGTGGATTGATCCCTGGATACTCCCACCTGCATGTCAACCTATACTTGAATAAGATACTGAACCCATGTTGCCCAGATACATGTTTAAAAAAGTGCTTTGAGTGCTCAGTACAAAAGCCCTACATGACTGTAACTGTATTTAAAAAAAAATTATAAAATGATAAATAACAATAACTAATATGCTCCCTCAATCAAATAAGGTCTGTTTAGTACTCTGTTAAGTCAAATGAGTTAAGGTAGCAGCTTATGTGTCTTCATTTATTTTTACTGATGTAAAAACACAAAATTACTTGATGTGAAACACTTTCCCAAATTCACTTTACCACACCGGTCCATTATCATACCAGTAATCCCTACCCTGTGGTTTAAGGGATTATTATAGGGATTACACTGCTAAAGAGCTGTATACCAAAAAAGCTGTCTTAAATAGCCATTTCATGTCAAGATTTTTTTTTGGTTGAGATTTTAAATAGGTCTTAAAAAAAAAACGTAATTTTGATTTATAAAATGGTTTAAGAGCCCTGATCTGATGTGGAACCACTGATTCTAATCAGATGGATTTAAAAGCCTGACAAATGTATTGCTGGATCTACTTTTTTCGGTGCAACTTTCTTTGACAGCTTTTTTTTTCTTTAATTGATACCATTTTAAAGAGGACTGTTTGCTTGGTCAGAAATGCCCAGAAAATGAAGTTTCCATGGTTTCCATGCTATCCCCACTTGTAACTCATGATATATATTGTGCATCATTGCAGAAACTATAGACAAGCATAGAAGATAGATGTGAGGTGACCTAAGTAATATTGCAATAAAGCACTGCAATAAAGATATGCTCTTTGACTCTTCAGCAGGAAGTTTTCTCTCTCCACTGTTGCCTTGAGTACTATTATGCAACAGGGAAAAAAAGTATCTACTGGCCCATTTTTATTTGCTCAATGGAAATAATGTTTGCTATTATTTTTGTTGTAGGGAATCAGGGATTCTCCAACCAGCCAGGATTTACAGATTTCCCCAACACTCCTGGGACCCCAATACTAGGAGAGTATGCACCTTCTGGACCACCACCTCCACTCCCTTATCAGTCTGAGCAGGTTGGATATCTTTAATACCCAATTAATATATATGTAAATAAACGGGCAGGAAAAAAGAGGGACCTTATGGCCACAGCAATGAGAATTAGGGTCAGTTTCCTCAGGTATTTTCCTTTGATGCTAAGTAGACTTCAGCGATAAACAAGAATAAATGCACCACAGTCAAAGGCTTCTTATATACTGTACTGTTGTTTATGTAACCCTAATTGATGCAGTCCATTACTTGAAGAAGCACACATAGTAGTTTATCTTAGGGCTAGCTACTAGAAGCTACTGGAAGTCTGACTTCTTGTTTCAAATTATTTTGTCTGTTATGTTTTCTCAACTGAAAACCTCTATCTCAGAGATTCCTGCTCTTAAATCCAAACTTTTTAAAAAACATTTAAATCTTCAACGTAATGTTAAGTCTTATGTGTGATTTGGCGCATCTCAAATAAATAAATAAATGAATAATCCAAAAAGTAGCTATATTAATGCTGAAACAAGGTTAAAATATTCCCTCCAAACAAAACGTATAAATTCTAAATGTGCAAATCAGTCCGTGCATGATTACATTGCTCTGCCTGTTAAAAAGTCACTTGCACAAATCTATCGCCTGTCGTCATTTACTGGATTGACGATTGGAAAAATTTTACGTCGCCCAACCTTAATGTCCATGGGGGAGAGCTTTATCAACAGGAAAAGCTATATAAGATATAAAAATACAGTTAAAAGTCCAAGCTTGATACCCTCCTTTAGATTTTCTAAAGCTGTTCAGTGGGGGAGATTTGAGTTTTTGTCAGGCCAGTTCTGACCCTGGGCCTTATGTTTGACGCTCCTGATTTAGATTATGAACGGAGTAAACGGCTAACCTAACCAATGAGTGCTGTAATAGGATGTTACTGAGTGGATATTGTGCACTGTTTTTTCTCACCCACACCGTTTGGCAGTGACCCCACTTCTCCAAAAGTTGATTCTGTTCATCTGGACGTAGCGTTTTGTGGGAGAAACGTTTCATCACACATCCAAGTGACTTCTTCAGTCTCAGCTGACTGCAGGTTTCCCCAATCTTATAAACAGTACATTTGCATAATGACTGAAACCAGCCAACTGAAGGAACAATGGGCTGGGAGGTCAGTTCCTTTATCATAATTATGCAAATTCTCATGACCATTTATCAACAACCACTGATCAATGGCCACGAGTACCATTCACAGAGAGTCGGGGAATGGCTGCAATCACAGCATTGTAAAATGGCGAAAGATGTACCCTTAGGCCCCATCCTCAATTCAGAGATGGTCTTGTTTTGCAAAGGGAAGCCCATCAGAAATAATGTGGGCTTATGTGGGAGCATGGCCTTAATGGGCTAAAATGGCTTTTTTTCCACATAGAGGATGAACTGAGGTCTGCACCAAGCCCCAATATAAGATAGATGAGGATTATTATTAACTGTTAAGTAAGCAGAACTGTTATGGTAAATTTAAGTATATAAAGTCTTTTATGGTCTCTTAGAGCTCCTGGGTAACACACTGTTCTCTCACTGCCTCATTAAAAGTGAGAAAAAAAAGAGTGTTTTGTAAAAGTTTAATGTTCTTTATTTTTGGAGAGCAGTTTTCTGATTTTAGACTTCAAAATAATGCACACCTTTCATGGTCATGAAAGTGCTTGGAAAAATAGACAAAATGTAAAGTTTCCCCCTAATATTTTAAAAGTTATCAATTAGCTTTAAGAGTGTTTGCCTTTTGATTGGTTAGTTATTTGTTTTGGTTTGAATCATTTGGCATCCAGCTTATAATCATGCTTCTCTGCGCTTGGCTGTCATCAACAACATGTTTGCTCACACTTACAGTCATCGGCCACTAAAACAAATCCTGTCACATGCAGCTGCTTCGTTATTGTATTATTTGTGGTGAATAATGTTGTCCGTGTGATACTGTAAAATAAGCATTCCCTTCTTGTTTCCTTTTTTATTTTATTTTTCCTGTCAGACGGCTCATTCTGGACAAATTGACCACTCTCATAACATCCTCCAGCAGCATGGCTCAGGTGTGCACAGTAACCCGAGTCTGTGTGACACTAGCAGCCCTCTGCCACAGCGGAGCACCAATACCCAGAATACCCTCGGACAGAGCGAAGGCACCTTTGGTCTGAGCGGCCCGGGACTGCCTGTAGGAGAGGGGACAGATCATACGCTAGATGTGAGTAGAGGCCTGTTGATGTCGTACTAAATTTTCAGTTTAAAAAAAAAAAAAAAAGAATAGTAAAGAAATCATAAAAACGTATAAACATAGTGTAGCAAAACATTTCCCATAAAGGAACAGAAATATGAACATGATCCACAGAAAGAGTGGGGTAAACAAGAAGTTTAGTTCTTGTTTGTGTATATAACGATTTGAATACAGTTTTAATAAGATTGCTGTATCTCAAACTTTCAGTGTTTATTTAATTTTAAAAACATTTTAAGTGTCTATTTTTTTTCCTTAATTATCTGTCATCAAGCTTCTTCCTGAGCTGACCAACCCAGATGAGCTGCTGTCCTATCTGGGCCCTCCGGACCTTCCCAACAACAGCAGTGATGATCTGCTTTCTCTGTTCGAGAACAACTGAGTCAAACTTCCATTCCAACCTCTTTCTCTCTTTGCTGTAGCTCGGCTCAGTTTTCACCAACTTCTTTGTGTGTGTTATGTTGTTTTTTGTGTATCAGTTGCTCTGAAGTGTCCTGCTGCTGAAATTCTTTGAGTACAGTGTTAAGGTGTACGTAGGAACACTATCGAAATGTGAACACTATTATGAGTTTGAAGAATGCAACAGTACACAGGCATTGACTCTACAGACCAGCATTTGAAACTATAGCACAAATCACTGGCTGGAGTATTTTGTATTTAATGATTAAATTGTTTTTTGTTTGG